ATTGAGGACTACAAGCCGACTGCCGCAAAGGCTGTCAGGACTTATAGTGCATTAATTCACAGAGCTCTGTGAATAATTGATGCGGGCTTGTGGGCGGAGCTTTCAAATCTGACAGTTAGTAGGGGGAAATTCTCCCTGCACTTCTGTCAGAGGGAGGGGGGAGCAGTGGGCAGCAGCTGCAGCATTGGGTACATGTTACATGTGCCACCCTAAAAACAGGTGGAACATATAACATGTTCCCAAAAGTGAACTTATCCTTTAAAGGGAAATCTCTCCAGTTGGCCAAAGGTGACAAAAGCTGATTGGTTATAATAACCCACTCTTAATAAATTAAAATCAAAATAAATAAGAAATATGTGTTTTACCTTAATATCTACCTTAAACCCACAACAGTAAAATCAGTCTGTATATGCAGTAAAGTATGCTTGATATACTCACTGTGGAACCTATGGGGTTAATCCTCTGCATTGTATAAAAATGCTGTTGATCCTGACTTCTCTGATCCTCCCCTTCTTCCAGTGTCCCCCCTCTTATCTCCTGATAAGACATATCGTGCGGAAACACTCTGCACATACTCAGTTTGATGTGTATTGCTCGAGAGGTTTTTTTTTTTTCTTGGGAGAGTGCATGTGATCAGCACCAGGCCAATCAGCACTGTCCAGACAGAGGTCAGGGGTTCTGCATCCTCCTAGAGCAGAAAAAAAACTCCTACAAGCTTTAACATGTGGTCTGCTGAACACTGATAGAAGTCACAAGATGGCTCTAACTGCGGATGAGAAAAGGTATTTAGCAGTTTATACTTACTAAAATAATTGCATTTCCATGTATTGTGTACTGTGGGAGACCAGATAGAGTGAATACAGGGTCCTGGGTTTAGTAACACTTTAAATCAAATTGCTAATAGCATATTGCACTCATTTGTAGTTTAAATACTGAAATTTGCACTTAAAATTTTTGTAACTTTTAGAAATTCCAGTAAAAATGTGGCTGTGCCAGTCAAATTTGGGTGCTGTGTCAGTGAATTTCATTCTGGTAGGTTAACAACACTGGTCATTATTGATCACATTCCTCAGATGGGCTTGTCACTGGATTTGTCTCCAATTCTCCCCATTCCCAATGACCACACCATATATAAAATGAGATATTGCACTTTGGATTGTACTGGTTTCTTTGCATTTATTGGGGTTTTTAAAGGTGAAAGGTTAAACATGAAGGAAGCATCTGCTTACAGCTTTACTATTTACCTAATTAAAGCTTTAACCTCCAATATCACGTTCACATGTTTTCCATAAATGTTATTTTTCTTTCACACGGACAATCTCTGATATAGCTTGCTAACTAGGAAATGAAAGTTTCCTGTCAAGCAAACCAGCGTTTCCCTATTTCTGTTATCATCTTTGCTTCCTGTAGCGTTTGGATTCCCTTTTTATTGAATCTTTTGGCAGGAAATAAATGGGAGGCAATATAATACCTGGGGGATGTTGGAAGGGATCGCTGTGCTTCCAGTAGCTGCTGGAGGTGTGTCTGTAAAGTGATCCGCTCTGCCGTCTGTCTGTAAAGAAAAGAGATTAAACTGCAGTTGTGTTGGACATAACCCTTCCCAAGACACCACTTAAAGCTTCTGCGTGTCATTATTGTATTGTGCAACTGGAAACATACAGCTCTGCCATGCAAGATGGTCTACTGTTAAATCAGGAAACAAGATTTATATTTGAATGCTGAACTCTAGACAAACAAATAAATACAAAGTTAAATTACATGTTTGAAGCAGTCTCACCTACCAAATAACAGTACAGTTAGGCCAGTGACCTGACTTTTCTTTAGTGTAGTTAGAGCGGAGTTCCATCTGAAGGAAAAAAAAAATAAAAGTCAGCAGCTACAAAAATTGTAGCAGCTGACTCTTAAAATACAGACACTCAGCTGTCCCTCGGGCCAGTGGTGTCCTCACCACCACTGGTTTCACCGGCCATCTTCTCTCTCTGGCACCGGCATCTTTAGTGTGGGTACCCGGCTGTGACAGCTTATGGCTTCACAGCCGGGTGCCCACTGTGCCTTTTGAATGGCCCCGTAGTCTTCTGGACCTGTCACGTGTCCCAGAAGACTACGGGGAAGGAGGACAATTTCCGCTTTAGATCGCCTAAGTGGGAGCGGGTACCTGTAAAATTTGGGTACTCGCCCCAAAGGTGCCAGTCCTTAAAAGCAGAATTCCACTCACTCTGTTAAAAAATAAAAGTCAGCAGCTACAAAAACTGTATCTGTTGACTTTTAAAAAACAGCCACTCACCTGTCCCACGATCCCGCGTTGCCCCCCTCCGCAGCCCGTTTCACCGGCCGTCCTGTATTCCAGGCACCAGCATCTTCAGTGTTGGCACCCAGCTGTGACAGCTTGGGGCTTCACAGCTGTGTGCCCACTGCACATGCGCGAGCAGCACTGCACTTCCTGAATGGCCCCGTTGTCTTCTGGGACCTGTCACGTGTCCCACAAGACTTCCGGGAGGGAGGGTAGGAGGACAACTTCCGTGTCCGATCGCCTACGCGATCGCAGTGGAAGTGGGAGCGGGTACATGCAAAATTCAGGTACCTGTTCCCCCCCCCCCCCCCGCTCCCCAAAGGTGCCAATCCTTAATGGGGAGCGGAGGACCAATCTTTAAAGCGGAATTTCCCCTTTTGGGTGGAACTCCGCTTTAATGGGGAGCGGGGGACAAAGGCTTAAAGCGGAACTTCCTCTTTTGGGTGGAGCTCCACTTTAAGCAGCACAACTCCTAGTCACCTTTCTATCCTCACACTATGAACAGCGAGGGGGCAGCACATTATTAATAAATAATCATCTGCTCTCTTACTCTAGGTTCACACCTAAGCATTCTCCGCAGCGTTTTGCAGAAATGCACTACAGTCCATTTATCATGATTTCCTATGGGACACGTTCACATCTCCATGTTTTCACCCGGTGCATTTTTTGGAAAGGGTCATGGACCCTTTTTTGGTTCTATAGACTTCAATGGAAACGCTGAAAAAAAGCATGTAGTGCGTTTTTGATATGTTTTGCGCGTTAAGTCTGCCTAGCAACCTGAAACAAAATTAAAATAAATTAAAAAACGCAAATTTCTTAAAAAATGCGTCAAAAACGCATGTGCAAAAACACAAAACACACTGCAGAAACGGGCCAAATGCAAACTGCATAGGTGTGAACATAGCCTTACTGTTGGCATGTTCTTTGTCAGCACATGCACACATATGCCACTTGATTGAACCCTAATGCTGTCCTTCCATCTACCAAGCTGTGTGCTGCTGTACAGGAGATTCCAATTTTGAGACTGGTTTAGGTACTGAACTAGCGGATTCAAAAATACATCTCATGATGTTTTGCTGAACGTGTAACTGCATTCATTTGTGTATTAATTTATCTGTCCAGAGTTCAGAATTCAGAAACATTTTACAAGCATTTCAAACTTTTTTTTAGATTTTTTTCCCTCTTTCCGGGAGTGCAGCATAGAAAGGAGGGTACAGAGGTGGTGATTTACAAAGGAATATACTGTATACAGTTCACTTAGCAAAGTGAATATTCATTGGTACTTTAATCAACCAATTGTGTTCAAGCAAACATCCTATGTTTAGTAACAACCCTTGCACATGATTGGGTATTCAAGGTCAACGCAACAAAGTTAACATACTGTATCCTTTTCAAAGAAAAAATTCATTTTGGCGCTCCTTTATTAAAGTCATTACATAACGCATTAGGTAAATGGATTTTAAGATTTCTCAAACCTACTTTTAGGTGATGATTGTTTTAATTTAAATAAATGAACAAGTCATGTCAATGAGGTAATCCATGTCATCGTTACAGCACCCAAAACCTACAGCAGCTTAGGGCTATAGGTGTAGAACCATATGGACTATATGGCGTATGCTTTATGACCATACTCATGTTTATCATTTTACGATATACAGTTGTGTTCAAAATAATAGCAGTCAGTCATCACTAACCTGATCAATCACTGTTTTTGGTAGAAATGATATTTCTACATGGCAAATAATTTACTAGCAGGTGTAGTAGAGTAATAGAAATACAACAGACCAAACAGTCATGACATGCATGCTGCTGATTCTGTGTAATTGAATCACTAATTGAAAGGGGCATGTTCAAAATAATAGCAGTGTGGAGTTCTATTAGTGAGGTCATTCATTCTTTGAAAAACAGGTGGCAATTATTGCCCTTTTTTAAGGAAGGAAGGCAGCAAATGTTGTACATGCTGGTTACAGTGCATTTCTCTCTGAAATTCTGAGGAAAATGTGTCTTTCTAGACATTGTTCAGAAGAACAGCGTACCTTGATTAAAAAGTTGATTGGAGAGGGGAAAACATATAAAGAAGTGCAGAAAATGATAGGCTGATCAGCTAAAATTATCGCAAATGCTTTAAAATGGCAACCAAAACCTGAAAGACGTGGAAGAAAGTGCAAAAACTACCATTCGAATGGATAGAAGAATAGCCAAAATGGCAAGGACTCAGCCAACAATCAGCTCCAGGAAGATCAAAGAAGGTCTAAAGTTACCTGTGAGTACTGTTACAATTAGAAGACGCCTATGTGAAGCCAAGCTATCTGCAAGAAGCCCCCGCAAAGTCCCACTGTTGGAAAAAAGATGTGCTGAAGAGGTTACAATTTGCCAAAGAGCCCATTGACTGGCCTAAAGAGAAATGGCGCAACATTTTGTGGTCTGAAAGTAAGATTGTTCTTTTTGGGTCTAGTGGCCAGAGACAGTTTGTCAGACGACCCCCAAACACTGAATTCAAGCCACAGTACACTGTGAAGACAGTGAAGCATGGTTGCGCAAGCATCATGATATGGGGATGTTTCTCATACTACGGTGTTGGGCCTATTTATCGCATACCAGGGATCATGGATCAGTTTGAATACATCAGAATACTTGAAGAGGTCATGCTGCCTTATGCTGAAGAGGAAATGCCCTTGAAATGGGTGTTCCAACAAGACAATGACCCCAAACACACAAGTAAACGTGCAACATCTTGGTTCCAGACCAACAAGATTGACGTTATGGAGTGGCCAGCCCAATCCCCGGATCTTAATCCAATAGAAAACTTGTGGGGTGCAGTGGCGGACTGACCATTTGGAAACTCAGGCACTGCCCAAGGGCCTGGGGTCAGCAGGGGCCCCATGAGATGCCCCTGGTACCTTTTTCATAGGTTTTTTTTTGACTTTGGGCAAGGACACAGGGGCCCCATGTTCCCCTATTGCCTGGGGGCCCCATGAGTTGTCAGTCCGCCCCTGGTGGGGTGACATCAAAAATGCAGTTTCTGAGGTAAAACCAAGAAATAGAGAAGAACTGTGGAATGTATTCCAATCATCCTGGGCTGGAATACCTGTTCACAGGTGCCAGAAGTTGGTTGACTCCATGCAACACAGATGTACAGCAGTTCTCAAAAACAGTGCTTATACAACTAAATATTAATTAAGTGATTCAAAGGAAAGCAAAATCTTCAAACATTTTTCAGTTTATATAGTGAATGTTTGAGTTTGTAAAGAAGAATACAAAACACGGCTATTTTTTTGAACAGTCTAATATTCACTTTTCTTCAATTTTTTTAGAGGAACAACACAAATTTGATATATTTTTCTTCATGTTTTGATTTGGAATAGAATGTGTAGTGTTCCCAATGCATTTGTGTGTATGGAAATAAAAGCTATTAGAAGGAATTTGAGCTTTATTCACTTTTTTCAACACACTGCTATTATTTTGAACACAACTGTATATAATATACACAGTTGTGCTCAAAAGTTTGCATACCCTGGCAGAAATCATGAAATTTTGGTATTTACAGTATATCATGATCATGCCAAAAATGTATTTTATGTAAGGGTAGTGATCATATGAAGCCATTTATTATCACATAGTTGTTTGGCTCTTTTTTAAATCATAATGATAACAGGAATCAACCAAATGGCCTTGACCAAAAGTTTACATACCCTGGAATGTTTGGCCTTGGTACCGACACACAGGATGATACACACAGGTTAAAATGGCAATTAAAGGTTAATTTTCCACATCTGTGGCTTTTTACATGCGATTAGTGTCTGCAAATAGTCAATGAGTCACTTGTTAGCTCTCACGTGGATGCACTGAGCCATGGGAAGCATAAAAGAACTGCCATAAGAACTGCATAACAAGGTAATGGAACTTTATAAAGATGGAAAGGGATATAAAATTATATCTAAAGCCTTGAATATGCCAGTCAGTACTGTTCAATCACTTACTAAAAAGTAGAAAGTTTGGGGAACTCTTGATACCAAGTCAAGGTCAGGTAGACTAAGAATGATTGCAGCCACAACTGCCAGAAGAATTGTTTGGGATATAAATAAACCCCACAAGTAAAATTAGGAGAAATACAGGCTGCTCTGGAAAAAGATGACGTGTTTGTTTTAAGGGGCACAATATGATGATACTTCAACGAAAATGAGCTGTATGGTCGAGTTGCCAGAAAGAAGCTTTTACTGCACCAAAACCACACTATGTGATAATAAATGGCTTCATGTGATCACTAGCCTTAAATAAAAATTGGTCAGGTTCCAGGGACTGTTAACACTATTATGAATGTGATGTGCTATCTAAAAGTATAAATGAAGAAAATGGTGGTAGTGGTATAAGAAATTGTAATGCCAGCAAATATTTAAAAAATTCAATGGAAAATCCAATCTAGGCCTTCCTTGTCCCAGTGCCCCACAAGCAGTATCTCTACTTTTCCAGCAGCTGCCTGTTAAGTATGTGCCTGAATAATCTATAAAAATACTCTATATAGGTATTAAGAAGATCATTGCCTGTTTTTGCTGATTTCAAACAGATTGCATGACATTACCATGTCTATGGGCAGATTAGAAACGGCCTTCACAATTGATTGTTCTTGACAGCAAATTGCCAACACAAGAGTTTTCATGATCAATGTTTTTTGTTATAAAGATGAGAAAAATATATGGATGAGATAAGCTTGTGCCAAGGATGTCTCCTCAGTGTACAGACAAGCACACTTGAGTGATAAAGACATGTTTGTCTGTTATTTCTATTAATATAAAGCCAACGTGTAATACAGCACATCGCTGTACATATCGCTGCCAAAAAAAGATTACTTTGTGATTGCATCCTACACACAATCTTAACTTCTTTTTATGTCTAACCTTTGCACTAGCTGTTTAATTCTTGCAAAGTAGAAGATTATATCTAACACGGTTGAAGAAGAGTTTGAATAAGTGGTTGGTGTAAATCTCTGTTAGCTGCCAATACTATTAACAGCCAGCAGATGGCAGAGCAGCGCTAATGTTACAAAGCCCAGATAGCCTCACTTGACTTCATTCTCTACAGACATCTTTAGTTCATCCCCAACCACATTATACCATAAAAACGTCTCTGGTACCCTGGATTCCCCTTTATAGACTTTGACTAATGTGACAGTCTGACATAGTAACATAATGCATGAAAGTGCAGGAAAAGTTTACAGAGAATCACTAAGTGTCAGTGAATGATGACAGCTGGCTGACGGTTGAAATCGGTTGGCTGTCATTGTTTTGGTAACAGGAGGAAATAGCCAGCACCACAAGGTCTTGTTTCAGGCATCATTTGGGTTTTGTAAAGGTCTTCACTGGAATATTGGCGGGGTCAAAGTCTAACATATGAAGGGAGGATTTGCTGAAGAGTGAAAAGTGACAAATCTGATTTTCCTCCGAGACTTTCTCTGCAGCACAAAATAACATGTTTACCATGTGCTGTGATAGGGTTAAATAGCAGTTAAAAAAAAAAAGAAAAAAAAAAAAGCTTTTTGCTGAGTTTTTTCACAGTATTGGTGTTTGACCAGGACAGACCTCTAGCATGGTGTCCATAGAAAAACAGTTTTTGCCATGGTACCAATAAAGTCAGCTATCTCTCTCTTACAAAGGTCTCATTTAAGGACACTAGGCATGCAGCAGGCAAACTGTAATACAGATCTTAGTTTTTTATCTGCAGTAGCCCCTTTCACACAGGTAATCCGATAAGGTCTGCCTATCAGTTTTTCAAGCAGACCTGATTGGATGGTCTATGCTTTCCTATGGACTGGCACGTGTAAATGGGCTTGTGTCTGTTTATACCCACCATCCTTAAAAAAAATCGAAGGGATTCGTTCCCCTCCATCTAACCTAATCGGATGGCAGTCGGTGTATACGGACAGCGTGTGTATGCAGAGTCTGTTTACACCCGACTACCCATAAAGCAGGGGTGGACTGACCATTCGGGTACTCGGGCACTGCCCGAGGGCCTGGGGTCAGTAGGGGGCCCCATGAGATGTTCCTGGTACCTTTTCATATGCTTTTTTGGGTGTGGTTTGAGTGTGGGCAAGGACACAGGGGCCCCATGATCCCCTATTGCCCAGGAGCCCCACAAGTTGTCAGTCCGCCCCTGCCATAGAGCACAGCAGGCTGTGTCCTGCATCCGCCTGTTATGCCCAGTGGGCAGACCCCCACTGAGCAAAGCAGAGTCCACCTTCTGTGAAAGGGGTCTAAGTCAGCGTCAACAGCATCGCAAGATCAGAAAGGCTGCCAACAAAAAAAAAATACATAAACAGAAGTCATCCATGTCACACTTGCAATAATGTGACCGTATCACTTTACAGAGCAGAGAATCTCCTGCCTCCATGGCATCCCTTCCTTTGCTGACCAGATGAGCGAAAAACCACTCCATTGTTGGCAAGTGACATTCTTCACCATTTCCATCAGTGAAGAATTATGCCTGGCTTATCCAGCTTGAAAGGCAGTGACACCATGGAAGCAGGTGAGTATTTCTCTGCCCTTTTTAGCAATTCCTTTACTGGTAATTTGTCACCAAAGAAGATTAAATGTAATATGTTAATTTGGAGCTCTCTTTTATCTCTTATACTTGGATTACTCAACGTGGGTGAATGTCCTCTCCTGGGAAGTTCATGTCTTTGAGCTGCTGAATATAGGCCAGTTGGGCTCGAGTAATGACTTTGTCAGAAATTTGATGACCTGTGAAAATTTATGGCCAGTACCCCTCTACCGGAGGTAGCAGCGGAGAGCTCCTTTTTTAGGACACACTACTGAGCACGTACCAGCCCTGAGAGGAGGAGATATACATATGTTGGAGGATCTTTTAGTACAAGCCTGTTTTTACCTTAGTTCCAGTGGGTGCATAGTGGTGAAGGATTTCACGGATGTCTCTTTTCCCCATTGGGATGTCACTTCACTCTACTTAGGACTGCTGTCCATATTAATTGTGGGTGCAGCCATTTATTCCACTGAGCATCTCTGTTTGTGCACTGGATATCATTAGATCACGGATTTCCTTTTGTTTATTTGGATTGTTTGTTGTATCGATGACTGCACGTATCATATTATAGTTTTTGTATACCTATTGTCTTGATATGTAGCAACATTCATGGGTTATTGTATTACATTTCATCTTCATTGGTTGATTGTTTTTTAATTTTCAGATTTTTCATATAGCGCAGCACTTTTGTTATGATATGTTTCTTCAGATGTAGCAGTTGAGACAAACCATTTACCATGAACAGGGGTGCTTACAATGGTCAGTTTTTATTACATTTACTTGCTAGCACATCTAGCACTCCCATCAGACTGACAATGCCGCTGTCCTAAGGTGTCTCTGTGCTTATTCATCCAGAGGGGGGGCACTCTAATACAGGAGGTGTGACACTGGCCAGATCACTAAGTGAAAACAGAGGGAAAAAAGCCTAAAAAAGAAAACTAATGCAGCCACCACATCTAATGATTGGTAAGCTGCAATATATTATATACAGTATTTGGTTTTGGGTTTAATACTGCTTTAAAGTGTATCTAAAGCCAAACTTTTTTCATTTTGGATAGAGTGGGATATGGGATTTAAAAAAAAAATGTTGGTCATAGGAAATGTGGTTACACAGTGTGTTGTACTCATAAACTATTCTATAGACAGCTCTATATAACAGCAGGCTGTTTTCTCCACAAAATGCCATGATTGCCTAACCAAATCAGCACTCAGGTATCCAGCATTTATCACTTGATTCCATGGAAGCCATGATAGTGTTACAAAACAAAACTTTATTATGAATGGGAAATCACTCTTTATTAATAGAAACCCTAGATGTTTAAAACAAATGGAATGATTCAGTACTTGAGCATATAGATAGATCACA